TTTTTTCCTTTTTATTAAAACAACACATGGATGCATGCTTTTATTACATTCGTCAAGTAACAAAACTTGGCAACAAAGTGAAGTTTAGAACAACAACGACCGACTCCTGGTTTCAGAATAAGATTAGAGACATATACCCTGCTTTCTAAAAGGATCCCAATGTTTTGATGTCAGAGTCTAGCCTTATTAATGTTGTAATAGGTGCCAGCCTTCCTTTGAGCACATCCTAGGCCGATGTTGACTATGTGTTCATGCCATTACTGCCCACCAACAAAGCTCACTGGATGCTTGGTTTGTTACGATTCAAAAGCCATAGGTTGATAGTGTTCAATTCGACAGGCAAAAGTTACCGTGACTGGAAAGTGGTAAAAGTTATCAAGCCATTTGTGAAAATCTTGTCTGCTCTAATGAATAATCTTGAAATTTCGAAAAAGAACCCCAATTATATTGAACCCAGTTACATGGAATTGAAGGTTACTACCGATGATACCCTACCTTAGCAGATGAATGGGTATGTTTGTGACCAAGAGTACAATGTGTATAACTTTTAAAAAAATTGATTTGTAACATTTTGTCCTGTGTTGTTTTGCATTCATGATTGCGGGATATTTATGATCTTATATGCTTTATATATATCCTGCGTGAAGACAGAGAGTCCATTCCATATACATTTGATGTCAGTAAGTGTAGAATGGACATTACCACACTGCTGCACAAGCACCAGGAAATGTACGTGAAGATAGCGAGGCAGCCTATAATGGGAGAGGGGATTGTCATAGAATGAAAGTAAGCTGAAATATGTAAATGAAGTTGATGCTGTAGTTTTGTACATGTTACAAATATTAGTATTTTCTACTGAATGGAGGTGATTGTAATGAATACTAACTTGTTGCTATAAACTTTGATTTGCGATACATGAATGCAACATGTTTTTGCTCATAATATCGTATTGGTTACATATTATTGCAATATTTTCATAACAGAAACATTGCATTTCACAGGTCTTTCGATATCTTATGTCTCACATGTGACACAGATCACATGATACACAGCACAGTACATTGAATTTCTCATGTTGGAGATGGTCACTTGTTAAACCACACAAGACACAAGTCACATGTTACACCACACATCATCTATATTTGATGGAGAGTGTAGTTACATATATGTCACTTTTTTGCAAAGGTAGTTTTATATAACATGATTTTATATCGTAAGTGCACAGTGTCAAGTTTTGTAGTATATTAAAGAATTGAAAAGTGTCGAACCCACAGGGATTGATATTCGACTTCCACTGATTACTATAATTGTGTCTGCGTTTACTTTATCTAGACAATCGAGTGTTAAATTAATGTTTGAATACTAAACTAACGTCAATGAATTAAATAGTGCAATAAAAGTGAGACGATTTCTAAAGACTAAGTCAAAATTACGCAATGTCTAGGGAGTGATTTCACCGTATTCTCGACATAATTCTCAATCCCTATAGATATTTCCATCAACTATTTCCCGAATTCATAGGCAAGAATCCTAAATTAATTCTATTTCTCCCTCTCGAGCGTCAAATAGAACCAATCTCTATATTTTAACCCCAATATCTCTATTCCGAATTAAATATATAAAGATTATCACACACTTGGTTCTTGTTTTACCCTCAAAGATTTGTACTATCTCTCGAAACCTACAAATCTAGGTTATATTATTCTTAGATCACGCCTAAATTTCCCTCTCTCAAGTATCAAATTTAGAACATCAATTCATTCAATTGGTGATCAGGCAATTGAAAGCATTAAACAAGAACAATACAAATCAATTCTGGAAAATTAAATGGAAATACTATAAAGAAATTAAATCATGTCTCAAATAGGTTACATCAAACCCTAGATTTAATAGTTTACTTCATGATTGAGAAGAAAAACACAATAAAATACAAACTAGAGTGCATGTATAAGAGAAAGATAGAAAAAACTCAAGTTGTTGCTCTATTTCTCAATCTTGTTGCTTGATTTCTTAGTTTTCTCCCTTCTTCTTCTCCAAAAGCGGGTCGATCTTCTCTCAATTGGTGCCTCTCTTTTTCTTACCTTTTCAGCCGTCTAACCCCCCTTCTTTTGTTCTTCATCTTGGTATTTATATTTTCTAAGAGTCCTCAAGGGTTAGGGTATGATTTTTGGGCCGAAAAGATAATTAAAAATTCGGGTTTTAACGTTTTGGGATTTGGAGCCACGGCGCCCAAGCATGGCGCCACGATTCTCATGTTAACAGGCGCCATGGCGCCCAGGTCTGACGCCGTGACGCCCAAGTTTCTGCTTGAATTCATCGCTTTGGGAGCGCCATGGTGCCCCTTTTTCTGCGCCGTGGCGCCAATGCCACTACTTTGCTTCTCTTCACTTTGTTTTCCAAGCCTATTTTCCACTCCAATCTTATTCAATACTTGCTTATTCATGCTCCATTTCATTGATCATCATTTTTGCTCATCACCGGCTCCCAATAGTGGTATTTTCTCGAGAGTTGTCCAAACTGGAAAACAACACGAACACACACATCAAAACGTTCAAAAATGCCCAAGAACACATCAAAAAATGTGATTTAGGAGCTTTAGTTTAATGAGTGAATTACACTCATCAAACACCCCCAAACTTAGTTCTTTGCTTGTCCTCGAGCAAATACAAAACTAGAGATAATTATTAACGAACACAAAAGCACGACTAAGACAGACGAAGTCACTCAAAAGAAACTTTATGTTAGACACCTTGCATTTATAGCTCAAGATTAAAAACACAGCGTCAAATTCATGAAGTACTTCAAAACTATAATGCACGCATCAAATCCTCGCTTATTCAATGCAAACGGGTGTGTGTGTGTGTGTGGAGAGTTAAGCATAACGCTGTACAATAATAAATTGACCCAATTTCCGACCTTAAAAGTCAAATATTTTCTTGCTTCGCTCGTGGGATTCACACACCCCCAAACTTGTTTTCTTTTCTCTTTCCAAGGTGTATTCTAAAGTTGATTTTTTTCAATGCTAATTTCTTACATCGCTCAAGTTTGGTTAGATTTCACTATTGCAGTTCAACCCATCAACAGATGAGGATTCTCCTTATTTTTGACTGCTTCAACCTCTAGGAATCAACCAAGTTATTAACCTCTCCTCAAAGGTTTAATCCTCTAGAACAAGTGTTCGAGGCTTAATCAAAGCATGTAATATATATATATATATGTGTAGTCTTTAAACACCCTTTGTGTGGACGTCACTCCCTCAAGCTTTCTAAATGACCCTTGTAACGAGCTTTAAGCCGATAACTCCCAAATCAGACTACTTTAGAGCACCAGGTTTTAAACCCTTATAGGTTTAATCACTCGAGTCATAAAGGCTACGAAGAGACGATTCACAATGAGATTATTAAAGTTGTCCTCATTGGGATCTTTTTTTATGCAATGATTAGTGCAATGTCCCTTATTAAACATCTATTCTCGAAAATCAACCTCTAACTTAAAGTTTTCACCCAATTTTCATCCTAGTAGTCTCAGATAATTCACTCAAAATTTAGCACACATGGAATCCATATTTATCTTCAAGTTTTCCTGCAACAGCTTAACCTACCAAACAGCCTATATTTGGTTTAAGGGTATAATAATGTTTAAAGGTTGTTTGGGTTTAGCATCTAAGTTCTCTTATTCAACCTATAAACATGTATCAACTTACCCATGTACAACGCTACAATCAACCCACGTGCAAAAATAATTTCCGTTTCACACAAATTAGCAAAAATCTAACTCACACATATAACTTATCCTTAATCCATGAACCAATACATGTTTTTAATATTATACATCATCGCCGGCAAGCTATCTAACTCACACAAGCATGCAAAACACGAAATGAAATTTTTTTTTTGTTTTTATTTGACAATGCACACAAATAAAAATTAAATAAATAAATAAATAAAAACAAACAAATAATTAAAAAAAGAAACACACAAATAAAAGAAAAAATTGCACACAAATCAGACAAAACCAAAAATTTTGGCAATTAGACGATTTATAGTGCACTCTCCCCCAAACTTAAACTAAACATTGTCCTCAATGTTAAATTAAAAGAAAAAGAGGAGGACTTCCCTGAATTGTCTGAATTGCCAACGATGATTTGGTGCACTAATGTTGAATTTGATGGACGTTTCTTCTAGCTTCCCCCCAACTTGAGATTTATCCAGCTTCTCCTTGTCAATGTTGTTTGATTGATCTGCGACGTCATGTTCCTAACAAATCACAATGTAGATATTAAACTCATGGAACAAGTGGTACTTAGCTCAAACATTGATAACCAACTTGATTTTTTAAAAACCTAAGGGACGGGTAGGGTTGATGAATTCCTAAATAACAACTTTGAAATAAAATAAATTATCCTAAAATTCAAACACAGAATAAATAAATAGAGATGAAAGCTTGGGTTGCCTCCCAAGAAGCACTTCTTTATAGTCACTAGCTTGACTCAACCAAGGTGTCTATGGTGAATCTTCGGGTGGAGCATCTCTCTTGTTTCTGAATATTACCCTCGGCTTTGCATTCTCCTTCACCGTAGCATGGCCAATAAAATCAGGCGGTTTGAACCTCGATGTAGCCTTCAAAACCTCTTTTGGTTTGACAATGTTTAGAGGTTTCAAAGGCCTAGCCACATAGCCTTCTTTTTTGTCAGGTGGATCAACTTCTTGGGTGAATATGAAATCCACTACTTCTTCGGCTCCCGAGTATTTGCCATCAGTAGATTCATCCCTTACTAAGTAATTGAGAGCCATATATTGTTCTAAAGGGTCATAGAACACTTCCTTTTTTTCTCTGTGACCTAAAACTGCGTCAACCGATTGGACCATATTGCAAATGTTGACTTTTTCTTTAGGCTTTTCTACTTGATGGATGTTAAAAGTTACATGCTCTTCATTAACCCGCAATGTCAATTTTCCTTCCTGGACATCAATCAATGCTCTTCCAGTAGCTAGGAAAGGTCAACCAAGAATCAACGATATTTTCTCGTTCTCCTCCATGTCCAACACCACAAAGTCCACAGGAAGGATGAACTTATCGACCTTCACCAATACATCTTCAATCATGTCTTTGGGATATGCGATCGATCTGTCCGCCAGTTGCAAAGTGAGGGTTGTGGGCTTCACTTCTCCAAGACCCAGCTTTTTGAACACTGATAGGGGCATCAGGTTTATACTAGCTCCAAGGTCGCACAGTGCCCTATCAAATGTGATACCACCAATATTGCACGGGATGTTGAAGCTGCTCGGATCTTTCAATTTGTGAAAGAGCTTCTGAAGTATGTCACTACACCCCTCTGTCAGCTTAATTGTCTCGAACTCCTCCAGCTTCTTCTTATTTGACATCACTTCTTTCAAGAATCTGGTGTAGTTAGGCATTTGGGCCAAAGCTTCTGCAAAGAGAATGTTGATGTGGATTTTCTTGAAGACTTCTAGGAATTTTGCAAATTGGTCATCAAATTTCTTCTTCATGAACCTCGCGGGAATGGTAATGGGGGCTTCAAGATTGGTGGGTTGTCCGAAAATGAGATCAAGTAAAGCTTATAGATCTTTGTACCCTCTGCCTCAGTTTTCTGCCTTTCCTCTGTAACTATGACATCTGATGTAGGCACCATAATCTCCTTAGGTTTGCTTTCTTCAACCATTTTACCACTCCTTAGGGTGATCGCATTGCAGTGTTCACGTGGGTTAACCTCAGTGTCACTGGAAAATTTTCCTTTTTGCTGAGACTTCATTGAGGTAGCCAATTAGCCAAGTTGCACTTCAAGATTCTTCATTGTGGCTCTCATGTTGGACACATGTGTTTCAATATTATCCAACCGTAATTCATCTTTGTTGATGCGTGATCTTGTCTCAGAAATGAACGTCCCAAGGATGTCTTCCAAGGGTGGTTTTCCATCAGAATTCTGAGTGTTGAATCCGGGTGGAGGTTGAAGTGTGTTTTTATTGTTGCCATATGACAAGTTCTCGTGATTCCTCAGCCCTGGATGATAGTGATTAGCTTGGTAGCTTCCTCTTTGATTGTAGTTTCTACTGTTGACATATTGGGCCTGCTCGTTTGCAACCTCTCTTGGTGTGATGAAGAAGTACTCATGACTGAATCTACCTTCTGTTGATTTCCTTGAGTGGTAAGCGTGACTATCTGATTTGTGAGTGATGCAACCTGAGCTGCTAGTGCGGTGATGGAATCCACTTCATGAAGTCCTGCTACTTTCTTTACACCTGATCTCGCACTTGGCCATTGGTAACTGTTGGTGGCTATGTCATCCAATAAAGCATATGCAGCCTCTGCTGTTTTAGCCATTAAAATGCCTCCCGCAGCTGCATCTACCATAGTCCTTGTCTGCCCATTTAGCCCATTATAAAATATCTCAATTTGCACCCATTTCTGGAACCCATGTTGAGGACACCTCCTAAGCAAATCTTTAAATCTTTCCCAAGCTTCATAGAATGGCTCGAAGTCGAGTTGTTTGAATTAGCTAATTTCACCGCGAAGTTAAGCTGATTTAGAAGGTGGAAAGTATTTGGTGAGGAATTTCTGAGCCAAATCATCCCACGTTGTAATTGAGCCATACGGTAGTGATTGGAACCAAGCCTTTGCTTTATCCCTTAAAGAGAATGAGAATAGGCGAAGTCTAATTGCATCTTCAGTAACCCCATTCATCTTCACCATGTCACAAATTTCCAAAAAGGATCCAAGATGAGCATTTGGGTCTTCTACTGCAGTACCCCCAAACTGATTTTGCTGCACCATATGTATAAACCCTGGCTTCAAATCGAAATTGTTTGCAGCAATTGCTAGGTGTGCGATGCCGGAATAGTTGTCATTGACAACCAGCCTTATGTAGTCTCGAATAGCCCTTTGTTGGTTATCCTCATTGGCTACTCTAGCATCCTGTTCTGCCATTGCTTCCCGTTCGTTTCTTTGTATGCCTCTAAGAATGCGAAATGTGCGTTCTGGTTCAAGATCAACAGATAATAGATCTAGATTTCTCGCCCTTTGCATAAACAGCTGAAATAATCACAAGGAAGCATTTAAAGATAGACACAAAAAGAGTAAAATAAAAATAACGGTAAAAATAAAAATCTACAGTAAAATGAACGCCGATTGGTAATAATATCAATTGAATTCGACTAAATCAATCCCCGGCAATGGCGCCAAAAACTTGCTAAGCATTTTATATAACGTGATTTTATACCGCAAGCGCACAGTGTCAAGTTTTGTAGTTTATTAAAGAATTGAAAAGTGTCGAACCCACAGTGATTGATATTCGACTTCCACTGATTACTATAATTGTGTCCGCGTTTACTTTATCTAGACAATCGAGTGTTAAATTAATGTTTGAATACTAAACTAACGTCAATGAATTAAATAGTGCAATAAAAGTGAGACAATTTCTAAAGACTAAATCAAAATTACGTAATGTCTAGGAAGTGATTTCACCGTATTCTTGACATAATTCTCAATCCCTATAGATATTTCCATCAACTATTTCCCGAATTCATAAGCAAGAATCCTAAATTAATTCTATTTCCCCCTCTCGAACGTCAAATAGAACTTATCTCTATATTTTAACCCCAATATCTCTATTCCGAATTAAATATATAAAGATTATCACGTACTTGATTCTTGTTTTACCCTCAAAGATTCGTACTTTCTCTCGAAACCTACAAATCTAGGTTATATTTTTCTTAGATCTCGAGCGTCAAATTTAGAACATCAATTCATTCAATTGGTGATCAGGCAACTGAAAGCATTAAACAAGAACAATACAAATCAATTCTGGAAAATTAAATGGAAATACTATAAAGAAATTAAATCATGTCTCAAATAGGTTACATCAAACCCTAGATTTAATAGTTACTTCATGATTGAGAAGAAAAACACAATAAAATACAAACTAGAGTGCATGTATAAAAGAAAGATCGAAAAAACTCAAGTTGTTGCTCTATTTCTCAATCTTGTTGCTTGATTTCTCAGTTTTCTCCCTTCTTCTTCTCCAAAATCGGGTCGATCTTCTCTCAACTGGTGCCTCTCTTTTTCTTGCCTTTTCAACCGTCTAACCCTCCTTCTTTTATTCTTCATCTTGGAATTTATATTTTCTAAGAGTCCTCAAGGGTTAGGGTATGATTTTTGGGCCGAAAAGATAATTAAAAATTCGGGTTTTAACGTTTTGGAATTTGGCGCCACAGCACCCAAGCATGGCGCCATGGCGCCACGATTCTCATGTTAACAGGCACCATGGCGCCCAGGTCTGGCGCCGTGGCGCCCAAGTTTCTGCTTGAATTCATCGCTTTAGGGGCGCCATGGCACCCCTTTTTCTGTGCCGTGGCGCCAATGCCGCTGCTTTGCTTCTCTTCACTTTGTTTTTCCAAGCCTATTTTCCACTCCAATCTTATTCAATACTTGCATATTCATGCTCCATTTCATTGATCATCATTTTTGCTCATCACCGGCTCCCAATAGTGGTATTTTCTCGAGAGTTGTCAAAACTGCAAAACAACACGAACACACACATCAAAACATTCAAAAATGCCCAAGAACACATCAAAAAACGTGATTTAGAAGCTTTAGTTTAATGAGTGTATTACACTCATCAGGTAGTCACATATATCTCACAACTTAGGTCACAGATAGTTATTGTAATGCCCCAAAAATTTTAGAATAAAATTTATTTATTTTATATATTCACATTTTTTTAAGTTGAGGACTAAAATGAAAAATATTTTAAATTCCTATTTTATTTGATCCAAGTAATTAGATATTGTTAGAGCGAGATTTAATATATCGATATTGGACTCATTTTATAGGTTGTAATTAATTAGAAGTCTTTGACTCAAGAAAAAGTTATTTTGGATAAGAACACATTAGGTTAGACTCAACTAAAAGAAAATAGGATAAATAGAACTTTATTTAAACTATTATTCAATTCATTTTCTCTCTCCAAAAATGTGTGGGTGGGTATTGAATTTTAATATTATTTTTAGTTTAATATTAACATTTTTGAATTTAATGTGATAACCAGTATCCTATTTGGATTACTATGAATTTATTATTAAAATATAATCCAAATACTAAACTAGGTTTTATCCAATAAGGTACATGTTTTCTAGTATAACTCAACCACCTTTTATTACTATAAATACTATACATGGATTCCATAATTCACACACCAAAAGTCATACACACGTAAAAGAGAAAAGAGAGAGAGGGGGAAGAGAGAGGCACTTTTGAGAACTAGAAGACAAGAAACCATTCTGCAACTCTTAAATAAATGAGGTAAGATATTTTAGGTGCAAGTGTTTTTATTTCCTTAAGCGTTTGTGTTCAATTAAATATGTATGGATTGCTAGTGGACCTTCGAGTTCTATAAAAATAGAAATGAAATCTTACGAGATATAAGAGAACCTAAGATGGGTGTGTCACTTGGTCATCGATATATTCTATAAGAGCGAGCGGTATGAAATATAAATTTTATTGTTATATATATGTATATGGAAACTGCACGTATCTTACTGAGTGTTTTTGAATAATCACTCTTACAAATTTTTACAGATTAGTTCTGGCCGATTAGAATAGTGGCGGGATGGTGATGCGGACTGCCAAGTGAATCGAATAAAGGAAAAAGAAATTTAACATTTAATTTGTTCTTTTCTTATGTCTATAAATTATTTGTTTGTTTTATTTGTTCAAAAACTCGTTTGTTTATTTTAAATTGATATTTATGGTTGAAAATAAAGAATTTTCTTTATTGAAAAATCATTCCGCAATTATTATAAAGGAAATTGAGTTTTTCGCGTTATGAAAATTTGGGGCGTTGCTGTCATGAGCCAAAATTCAATTGAAATAGGTATCCCATCTGACATCCATCTTAGGTTCTTAACACCTGATGACCATGTCATAAAAAAAAATTCATTTCTCCAGTGTATCTTGATTTTTGTTATATTACGCAGAATACATGTCTTCGAACACAGAACACATATCTTTTGGAGAATGTTACATGTTATGGTACATATATCACATTTTATGGTCCAAATGAAATTTGTAGTCACATATATGTATCTCATACAACAGGTCATATCTAGTTATCAAATATCTACAGATTTCAAACACAGTTCATGTTTCTTATCATAACAACTATGTGGATGTCGAAACTCAGTTGCACTTGAAAATGCAATGGTCACAGGTATATTTCACTGTGCTATTTTAATGAATGTTTGAAATAAAAGAACATGATATATCTATAATCTATCTTTATTATTTGTTAACTTCTACTATCTTTTGTGTTACTTTCCTATGTCATGCTAGTTTAATGGAACCATACTTGAGCATCTCCTACCGTTGTGACCTTGTCCTCCACAGCGACCACATTTTACTGCTAGTTTTCCTTCTCTGGATGATCTCTTCCTCTTCTCAGTAGGTCTTCCAAAACTCATCTTCTAGTTAGAAATTAACACAATTTTGGCTTGTACTTCTTCAGGCACTGTCCATTCATTTTTGTTCCCAACACGATATATAGAATATTGGTATGCATTCACGTAAGCGTCTTTTGTGTAATAATAAGAATAGTAAGCATATAGATCTCTCCCTGTATTTGCAATTAAAACCAAGGCATGCAAATACGGTATGAAATCAAATTGTAGCATCCTACATGTACATGTGCATTGTTCAATATCAACAACAAAGGTTGACTTTTCATCCCTGACAAAAAACACTTACTAGTTGGAAAGAGAT